TAGAAGAAGCAGGACAAGGCTGAGCAAACCTCAATGAGCAAGAGACTGCAGGTGACGATAAGGCATAAAACATGTGGAAATTAGACAATGAGATCAAACAAGACAGGAGTTTCCTTGGAAAATGTTAAAAATGAAAAAATAAAAAACCTTCCCATCTGATTTAAAACCATTTAGGAAGAACCTTCCAGATGGATGCATTTAAAGGGACACGTTGGAAGTTGGTGGAGGTGTTTGAGCTTTCCTCAACACGCTACATTCAGCTCTGGCTGAAGTCTATTTCTGGCCTTATTGGTCTGTTCACTGGGGAGTAGAAGGCTCCTCTTGTCTAAAGGCCTACAGCTGTACATCAGGTCTGGATGCATCTGTTCAATAAAAGGGCCTCAGCTCTGCCATGGAGAGCCGGGAACCAGATGGGAACCAAAACAGAACCTGCTGCCAAATCAAACCAGAGATATTTTACATCAGATGTTATGAAGCTGAGGAGATGCAGCTGTAGAAACACACATCTAGAATGAACTGTTTGCTCCATCAGTCAGAAAATCAAACATCCAACAGGTGAGTCTTTGCTTCTCACTGTCTGCAGTCCATGTTCAGGCCTTGAGATCAGATCTTTCAGACTGGAACTCTGGATTCCTCCAGAACCTCAGTTTGACCCCCAGCCTGATGAGGGAACTGATCCCGCCTCCCTCTGGGCCAAAACCTCCACAGGATTCCTAACATTCCTCTGCTTCATTACAGAGGACTGTTGATCCGAGAGCCAGCCGGGTCGGAACATCACCAGCTAGATCTAAAAACCTGCAATCTGCCGGACTCGCCTACGGTTGAACAAACAGACAATCCTCTGTATCTCACACTCGCTTCAGTTCATCTATATGATGCACATTCACAACTAATGTCCTCTTAAGGCACTAGAATTCATCCATCCATCCATCTTCCTCCGCTTATCTGGGGTCGGGTCGCGGGGGCAGCAGCTTAAGAAGGGAGGCCCAGACTTCTCTCTAGCCCCTCAGGAGGAACCCCAAGGCGTTCCCAGGCCAGCTGAGTAACATAGTCCCTCCAGCGTGTCCTGGGTCTTCCCCGGGGCCTCCCCTCGGTGGGACGTGCCCGGAACACCTCACCAGGGAGGCGTCCAGGAGGCATCCTAACCAGATG